GGGAGGGAGGGGGAAAATGAGAACCTAATGACGGGGACTTAAATGGAGAGGAAATGTTTTGAGAATGATGAGGACAATGAATGTACAAATGTGCTTTACACAATTGATGTATGTATGGATTGTGATGAGTTGTATGAGCCCTTAATAAAACGATTTTTTATAAAAAATAAGAATAACAGAAAAGTGGGTGAAGGGAGACATCAGACAGGGCAAGATAAGACAAAATAATAATTTATAAATTATCAAGGGCTCACAAGGGAGGTGGGAAAATGCGGATCTAATGTCGGGGGCTTAAGTGGAGAGGAAATGTTTTGAGAATGATGAAAGCAATAAATGTACAAATGTGCTTTACACAATTGATGTATGTATGGATTGTGATAAGAGTTGTATAAGCCCCTAATAAAATGATTTTTTTTAAGTGTAAAAAAAAAAAGCTTGTGAGTGCAACTACTGGCCCCTCCCTATCCAGAAGAATGAAGAATGATGAAAATCAAAGATACATGAAACAATCAGTGTAATGGACTACACTAATATCAGTCTCTAAGACTGATATCAGAATTAGATGGTGCCTACCTACCATTATGAACTACTCTTTAGGATCATATCAGAAGGTCCTAGATGCCATGGAGTCAATTCTGACTCACAGAGAATCTATATGACAAAGCAAAATTGTCCCTGTGAGTTTCTGAGACTATAACTCTTTATGGGAATAGAAAATTGCATCCTTTTCTCATGGAGCAGCTGGTGGTTTCAAACTGAAAACATTGCAGTTAGTGGCCCAACATGTAACCCATTAAGCCACCAGATAGGGTATGAGAAAACAATTAAACAAAATTCAAAATCCTTAAAAAAAAAAAAAAAGAAGAAGAAGATTAGGCTTAGTGGTCAGAGATTGGTGCAGACCCCAAGACTTCAGTCACCCTTTAGGTTTAGAAACACACACACACACACCACCACCACCACCACCACCACCACCACCACCACCACCACCACCACCCTCAGCCACATACACACAAACACATACCACCCTCAGCCACACACACACACATACACACACACCACCCCCCTCAGCCACATACACACCTACACACATACCATCCCCTTCAGCCACATACACACACACACACAAACACAACTAGCACCCCCCACCTATCCCCTCAGCTGATGGCTCAATTTTCAGTCAAGAAATAGGTTAATAAGGAGAACAATATAGCACTAGGGAAGTGGGCACACCTTAGAACAATCAACTATTTAAGACCAAAAGAGAAGCATTTATACAAGAACAAAGTTAAGTAGGGTTCAGAAGAGAAATGGAAACAAAACAGGAATGAGTCGGGATAAGTGATCTTACATTGTGGTGACTAAACAATGGCATGGAACAAACAAAATCTAAATAAATTATTGAATGGAAAACTGACATGCTCTATAAATCTTCAATGAATTCACAGTAAAATGTTCAAAAATAAAAGGTTCATAAAATTGAAAAACTAAAATAAGTATAGCCTTTAATTGCAAATTCAGAAACAGAATGTCATCCACATCTGTGATTTTAGTCTATGACAGTATCTTTCCACTCTGCATACTGCCCACCTATCCTACTGTCTGTCACAGACAGGGAATGAGTGGAGGAGGATACATACATAACTTACTAGGAAAACGGAATATATATTGTAACAGCTTCAAGACATGTTCCTGATATGTGGGAAAATCTATCAAATTCTATTCATAAATGTTACAAATTCGTATGTGAAGAAAACAGAAAATGGGGGAATACTCATTTGCACAATAGCTGGTACCTAAAATTTTAGCCACAGCTTTGCATTTAACTAATCTGAACATTCTTATGAATGAAAAATTCAAGTCAATGCAAGTAACTTTCATTTTGCTTTTTATCTTAAAAAGTATATTTTTAGTTCTTACAAATCTCACAAGACAATTTTGCTTTGTCATATAAATTCTCTGTGAGTCAGAATTGACTCCGTGGCATCTAGGACCTTCTGATATGATCCTAAAGAGTAGTTCATAACAGTAGGCAGGCACTATCTAATTCTGATTTCAGTCTTATACTCACATTTTATAAGGCGTTTACAGAAAAGAAGGCTTTTCCTCCAGTTGTAACATTGTGTCAAAATATAAAGATATGAGAAGGCTTCAAAATGTTCATAAAAAATGAAATTAGAATTAAAAGAAAAAGAATTTCCAACAAACTTTTTGGAGTCCTCTTGTATAATTTGCAACCAATGTTCCCATGAGCAAATCAAACTGAAGAGGGAGGAATAATTAGTCCAGAGTACTCAGGGGATGGAAAGAACATGGTCCTTGGGAAAAGATAGTCCCAAGATTAAACTTTAACATTGTGACTTATGGTTAAGTAACTAAATGAAGGTAAGTAACTTATGAAGGCAAGTTCTTTAACCTCCATGAACTTTAATTACATTGCTTGCAACTGAGAAAATACCACCATGGATTATAAAGTTTATAATAGATAATTGTGCATAAAATGCTTGACTTGTGGCAAATCACTAAGCAAATATTGTTAGTTCCTTCTATCATTCTCTATTTCACTGCTAAAGAGGTGTTCACTGAAAACATACCGATTGAAGTTAATATCTGGGTAACTAGAATACTCCGATTTCATCTTAGCATTTCTTCGTGGAAACGTGCAGAAAAAAGCATTAGCTAAAAGACTGGCAATCTGTTCTTGTGACATTGTGATGGAATGATTCATCTTCTGTTTCAAGAGCGGTATTGGCTGACAGAGGAAACAAACAAACAAACAAAATACAGACGAGATGAGCAATAATTAGTTTAGCAATTTCAAAAGCAGAAGCACCAAATCACATTTGCTAAATTAGGGCAGAAATCATTTCAAGCTACTCTTGAATTCTTAAATTAGCAAAGTCAAGGGTAGTTTTATCAAGGCTGATTGAGAAAATGTTCTTGTTTGACAAATTGCAGACTGTTAATCAATAATAATGAAAAGTAAAGAGAACATAAAACATTACTTATTGGCGAAAAGTAAAATTGTTTTAGCCAGTAAAACATAACACATTGCCCATGCAGTGAAAACTTTAAACAATGAAAAAGAAAAACACAACAATGAGTTTACCTATCATTGTTTATGCTTTTTCTCACATAACAATATAGACTGTTGGGCAGAGCAATTTTTGTATTTTACTCCTAAATAAAATTATCTAAGAAAAAATTTTTGATCAATAAGTTTCCCACTTATTCTGATCATTCTAAATTTCTCACACTGACAATTTAAAAATGAAATACAATATCTAATTTTATTAAAGCAATTAATGGAACATATGCAAACCATTATCCAAAATTAAGTATAACCTATAATCAGATAAACATTCACTATATACTCAAACATTCAAGTCAAGGAAGATATACGACATTTCTCTCAAAAATTTTTTATAACTGAAATATCTTCCAGTTGTGCTAAATCCAAATTCACTACCCTTTATTTTCAATATAATCCAGTGGATTTGAGTATTGTTTTCAGTGAGTTTTCTTCTTTTTTAAATGTTTAAAACATAGTTTTAAGTATTTTCAGTGAGTTTTCTTCTATTTTAAATGTTTAAAACATAGTTTTAAGCATTTGATAGTAAAACCAAAGACCACTGTCACTCCACTTACATTTCAAAATGTTCCAACATAAGTCTTTAAGATAGTTTTTAATCTCCCTTTCAATAATATCATGAAGTAAGGACACTGGGTATGTGCACTAATCTTAAGTAGCTTGCTAGAGAACTGTCCTAACCATATCTCAGGAATAAACTGAGGAGAGGCAGGCAAGATAAATAAAAATCACAATGCTGTAACAATGTAGCTTTTTCTAAATAATGGAAGATACACATTATTACTAGAATAACAGTCTGCTATGGAAAAGAAAAGGTTAGGCTTCTAGTTCAACCATATCTCTTAGAAAAACTAAAAGGTAAATAAACCATCAAGTTAATCCCAACTTATAGCAACCTCACAGAGTAGAAATGTCCCATAGTTTCTAGGTTATCATAATTAGCAGAAATCAATTTCCACGTCTTTCTCCCTCAGAATAGTTAGTTGGTACAAACTGCTGACTATTTGGTTACCACTTAACCACAGTTCAAGCAAAGTTCCTCATTTTCACTACTAAAATTTACTGTCAACAAGTCGATTCTGATTTATAGCAACGCAATACGACAGAGTAGAATGACCCCTTTGGTTATCCAGGGGTGTAAATCTTCATGGGTACAGAGTTTCATTGTTCACCTGCAGAGTGGGCAGAGGATTCAAATTGCTCTACACATAACACACTATGCCACTAAGGCTCCTTTTCTCTCCTTTCAAGTCTCAGTGATCACCATTTCTAAGAAAGAAGAAACAGCTTATATTGACCTCCATTTTCAATCCTATATATTTATACTCACAACTCAGCTTAGAAAAGGTGATGATACTGTGTCACTGATTTAAAGCAAACATACTTGGTCCTAGTGAAAAATCAGTTTAACTAGTTTTTTGTTTTTTTTCAAGTTATCAGAGAAAATGATTAAAAATTTAATGGAGGCTATTTTAGGTTAATGGATTCCAATCGCAAAACTTTGTTTCCCTAATAATACATTTTTGAATATAGTAAATGAATTCTATTCTCCTGGGAGTGAAAATGCCTAACAGTTTACATTTGGGGAAAATATGAGAATGCAAATCTTATTACGATGTCTAAATAAGGTGTTAGCTAAGTCCACACAGAAGGAGTATACCAGCCTGTGTGATCCAAGGGCTGTAAATAATAAAATCCAAAATCAGAGGAATGCAATGTGTTAGAGCTGAAATTCTGAACACTGGATTTGCAGAAGGCTATGTATGCTCAATGAAAGCTCAAAACCCACTTGCAGATTATCTGTCCATATTGATTGTTTCCATTGAACTCTTTCATTCTTGATTGAGCTGAGCTGCAGCAGGTTAGGGCCCGCTTCCCTGCACATCCCTGGAGGTCAGCAGCTGCCCCCCTGAAATGAGGAGACTGAAAAACAATGCCTAGAATGCCTGACTGCCTGAGAACTGTTTGGCCTGCCGGCCAGAGCTGATAAACTACCTCCTGGACCATAAACCTTGCTGCTGCAGCACAGACCTCCCTCTCCCACTTTTCCTTTAAAAACCTCACACCCCAGGCAAAGACCATGTTCCCCGGGGCTACTTGCTAGACCATGGGGCTCTGCCTGGGAGCTCCCTCCTAATATAGCTATTTCTGTTTCTGCTCTCCCTTTGTCCTTTCAGTTATCTTTGTCCATCTCCCTGTGCCTCAGTTTATACCTCTCACTCGTTCTGTGCCTCAATTTACCTCTCAATATTGAGTAAGGATATGAATAGTCTTGCCCTCAGAATGCACTGGAAAGTAGATTAGTATAGCTATATTGTGGTCAAGATTTAACATATTAAGATCATTTGTATTCCCTTTTGACCGTTTTTAATTTGTTCTCATTTCTATTATCTCCTGTTTTCTCTTGGATTGAGTCTTTTATATTTTACTTTATTTAAATCATTTTATTGGGGGCTCATACAACTCTAATCACAATCCATACATACATCAATTGTTTAAAGCACATATGTACATTCATTGCCCTCATCATTCTCAAAACATTTGCTCTCCACTTAAGCCCCTGGCATCAGCTCCTCATTTTTCCCCTTCCCTCCCTGCTACCCCTTCCCTTATGACCCTTGATAATTTATAAATTATTATTTTGTCATGTCACACTGTCCAACGTCTCCCTTCGCCCCTTTTCTGTTGTTGGTCCCCCAGGGAGGAGGTTATATGTAGATCCCTGTAATCAGTTCCCCCTTTCCACCCCACCCTCCCTCCATGTATTTTATTTTTTTGTATAATTTTCTTTATATGAATTCCAGCATAAGTAATCTTTAGAGATAGTAACTAGATTACAAACTAAGGCTTCTTGCCAACGGCTATGTGAACTCAACTGAGAAGTAGGTCCTTTAACCTCAGCTGTCTTTGGATGACTACCCTAACAAACGTTTGACTGCAAGCATTAAAGAGAGAATCTGAGCCAGAACCACTAAGCTATTCTGCTTCTGAATTCCTGACAGAAACTACAAGATCATATGTGTTTGTTGCTATCCCAAATTAAAAAAATATTTTCAGAGGTACAATAGTACTATAAACTCATTGGATCGAGGGAAGGTGTGTAAGAAAAGTTGAGTGTTAGTGAGCCATTTTGAAGACCATTCCCTAAATCCACATGGTCATCGTGTTGCTTTCAACTTATCGTGTCCCAGTAAGGACAGAGGGACCCCCCAGAGGGTTTCTCAAAGGCTGTAATCGTTATGGAAGCAGATTGCCACATTTCACCCCCTGAGTTCTGGTGGACTCAAGCTACAGTCAAATGCTTTCAGCACTGCAACCCAGGGCTCCTGTTACTGAGTATAAAATATTCCCCCATCCCAAAAGTTAAGAGATTGTTTAAAAGAGGGGGGGAAAGTTTGAGTAAAGAACAATAAATCTGAGTAAACAAACCTCAACAGTCTAAGCGAAAGCTCAGAAAATGAACGTTCCCCTTTTAATGTCCTTTCATAGGATTCTTTCAAGTCTCTAAACTTTTCCTCAATATAGTAAAATTATTATACTTTTGTGTAAAAACTGTTTCCTATGTCTCTCTTTGAGTTTGGCTATTAGAGGTTATGGGAAATTTAACAGTTTTCAAGCCTCAAGAAAACTACTGAGGAAGTTAAAAATCTACTACCAACCTGGGTGCAAATATTTGGCAGGCAAAGTGCAATTTTCACCATGTTAGGCAAAATGGACTGATATAAATGCTGAGCTTCTGCTTCTTCAAGTACCTGAAAAATCAGTAAAACATGCTAACTTTTAATAATAACCAGTAAATAAATGTTAGTTATAAAATTAACTCATATATGTGCTTTTCATGAAATACTATAAATACTAATTCATGAAATACAGGATCATCAATCACAAAAAATGATATTTATAGGTATACAAATAAACTTACAAATTCAATTTTAAACAAATAATTCAACTTAATGCCTCTGAAAAATTATTAAACAATATAAAAAACAAGTACCTCTTCATATCTACATTCACATTAAATACTTGACAATGGAGACGAGTATATTCTGCTATTGGCTACATCAACTGAAAACCACTAGACCACCAAGGACTCATTTGGAAGCCCTCAGGACTGCTAAGGTTTTTTTTAAAATCATTTTATTGGGAGCTCTTGCAGCTCTTATCATGATCCATACATCCATCCATTGTATAAAGCACATTTGTACATATGGTGCCATCATCATTTTCAAAACATTTTCTTTCTACTTGAGCCCTTGGTATCAGCTCATTCCCCATCCAGTCCCCCCATGAACCCTTGATAATTTATAAATTATTTTTTGCATGTTTTACACCAACTGCTGTCTCCTGTCACCCGCTTTTCTTGCCTTGGGGCAGGGGGTGTTATATGTTGATCATTGTGATCAATTCCCCCTTTCTAACCCCACTTTCCCTCTACCCTCCTATATCAATACTCTCACTATTGGTCATGAGGAGTAATATATTATTCTTAATCACCAAAAATGCCACACTAATTACTTCAAAACATATTGTATGTGTCAAATATAACCTATTGGGAAATAAATAATGAAATTTTCTGATGTCCTGAGACTTTTCCTTTTCTAAGTACCCTGAGAAAATGAAAACCACAATGCTAATATGATAACCTGGGGCAAAACAAATATAACAATTCTAGATAATTGTTATCATTTATAACTTCTGAACTCTACAAAGTTTTAGAAATTATTTAAGGCCTTTTAAATTTCTCTCCAAACATCAGAGTATTTCTCTGCAAGTACTGGAAATGTCAACATTCTAAATTTACAAAGAGCACATACACAGTCAAAGTTGAAGTTAATCATTTATTTACTTGAAATTATGTGCAGGCAAGAAGAGGTCTCAATTACAATCCATCTGATCCTGTCACTATTACAAGAATGAAAAATAGAATCCAAGGGAATTAAATAGGTTTATTTGTCTGATGAGGTCAGTTATCAATAAAAATCACAACTAAAACCCAGTGTTCTGGGCCTCTAAACCACAGTACTTCACACATCCCTATATGACCAGTGTTTGGAACTGACAAGAATATAAACTCTCTGCTAATGCTTTTCTTTGGTAGCAGGAGAAAACTACAGTAAAGGAGTATTTGTTAATTTATCTGCAGCTGGATTGTGTATATGCATAGACAGAGTCATAAAGAAAATTTATCAAAAAAAAAAAGAAAAGAAAATTATCTTCAGTCTGGTTGGGTTTTTAAAAAAAAAATACTTTTATTGGGGCTCTTATCATAATCCATACATTCCTCCAATATGTCAAGCACATTTGGACATATAGCGCCATCATCATCTTCAAAGCATTCTCTTCCAACTTGAGCCCCTGATATCAGCTCCCCATTTCTTCCCCCTCCATCCCCTGGCTGCATTCACACACGAACCCTTGTTAAAAGTTATAGATTATTTTTTCCATATCTTACATCGTCATCCGTCACCCCAACCCACTTTTCCGATACTTCAGTCTGGTTTTATAACCAAGTTATATATCACTAGAATTTTCCTTGTATTAAAGCGCTAAACCCAACTTATGTTTACCTCCCCCTTTAAATTAGGATCAAGGATCACTGGTGACATAGTGGGTTACACACTGGGTTGCTAACCAAAAGGTTAGCAGTTCAAAAACCACTTGCTGCTTCTCGGGAGAACAATGAAGTTTTCTACTTTTATAAAGATTTACCATGTTGGAAAATCACAGGGGCAATTGAACTTTGCCTTAGAGCAGAGGTTCTAAACCTGTGAGTTGCAACCCTTTTGGAAGTCAAATGACCCTTTCACAGGGGTGGCTCGATTCATAACAGTAGCAAAATTACAGTTATGATGTAGCAACGAAAATAATTTTTTGTTGGGGGGGGTCACCACAACATGAGGAACTGTATTAAAGGGTCGTGGCATGAGAACCACTGCCTTAGAGAGTTGCTATTAATCAGAATTAGTCAATGTTAGAGAATTTAAAATAGGATAATGGAAAAACTGATATTCAGAATGAAAAGACATTTGTAATTCAGACTTTTGGAGTTCAATAACCCTTGCTGATATAAACTGACATGTTGACTACAAAAATGAGCTCAAACATACAAATGCTTTTAAAGACAACAGGACTAGGCAATGTTTGGTTACATATAAAGTCACCATGGTTGGAGTTAACAGCAAACAACGAACTATAGAAAACTAAGCAACTGAAAAACAAGGCAATTATTCTAACTAAAATTTAAACAATAATGATTTGGGAAAATGAAGGGGTAGAAATAAAGCGGCTACAGAAGAATTCACTTCAGAGGACAGCACTGAAGCTACAGCTCAGGGAGAGGAACATGTCTGGTCAGAGCACACAAGAGCAAATGAAGGGAGAGGAAGAGAGAGTGGAGCACATCCTAGTCCACCAAGCCCTGAGGATGACATTTCTGCTCAGAGCAGCCAAAGCACAGAGAGGACCATAGGGCCGGCTCCACTATGAGGCATGACGTCCCTCACTGACCCATAGCATTTCAAGGGACAACACTGGAGACACAGTGTGGGAATTGCACCCAATTTGACCCCACCACACTGAGACAAAACACTAAGGATGTACAACAAGGGGAACAGAACAATGAAATCACCAGAGAATACTAAAAATAGACTTTGAGGTCAGGGCATGGCACTGCATCAAACTCCATTGGAAAACACCACTAAAGGTCAATAAACAGACCTTGAACTATTTACAGGCTATTTCTGTGCTTGGTTTGTTGTTGTTTTGTTTTGCTGTCTTGTTTTTTATGCATATTATTATCTCTGCTTGTCTACCTAGATAAGATAGGCGGGAAAACAACAGGAACAACGGTTCTGGGAGGACATGGGAGAAGGGGAGGTGGTGGAAAGGAAGTGGGTGTTAACAAACCCAGGGACAAGGGAACAAATGATCCAAAATCAGTGACACGGAGGGTGTAAGAGGCCTGGTAGGGATTGATCAAAGGCAATGTAACCAAGAGGAATTACTGAAACCCAAATGAAGGCTGAGCATAATAGTGGGACCAGAGGAAAGTAAAAAGAAATAGAGGAAAGAACTAGGAAGCAAAGGGCATTTATAGACGTCTAAATACAGGCATGTGCATATGTAAATATATTTACATATGACGATGGGGAAATAGATCTATGTACAAATATACATAGGTTTAATATTAAGGTAGCTGAAGGACATTGGGCCCCCACTCAAGTACTCCCTCAATGCAAGAACACTTTGTTCTATTAAACTGGCATTCCATGATGCTCACCTTCCTGACACGATCACTAAAGACAAAACGGGTGCATAAGCAAATGTGGTGAAGAAAGCTGATGGTGGCCGTCTATCAAAAGAATATAGCATCTTGGGTCTTAAAGGCTTGAAGATAAACAAGTGGCCATCTAGCTGAGAAGCAACAAAGCCCCCATGGAAGAAGCACACCAGTCTGTGTGATCATGAGGGGTGGAATGGATCAGGTATCAGGCATCAAAGAACTAAACATTGTATCACTGTAAATGAGGGGGAGTGCAGAGTGGAGACCCAAAGCCCATCTGTAGGTAACAGGACATCCCCTTACAGAAGGGTCTCAGGGAGGAGACGAGCCAGTCAGGGTGCAAGTGTAGCAACAATGAAACATACAACTCCTCTAGTTCCTAAATGTCTCCCCCCCGCCGCCAACTATCATGAGCTCAATTCTACCTCACAAATCCGGCTAGACCAGAGGATGTACACTGGTACAGATAGGAACTGGAAACACAAGGAATCCAGGACAGATGATCTCTTCAGGACCAGTGGTGAGCGTGGCGATACGGGGAAGGTGGAGGGAAAGTGGGGTAGAAAAGGGGAACTGATTATAAGGAGCTACATATAACCTCCTCCCTGGAGGACAGACAGCAGCAAAGTGGGTGAACATCTGAGAAGGACAGCATCTGCATATCATATTGTAGCAACATCATATGTAGTACATATTACTAACAATAAGATGTACGGGGGGAAAAAGAAAAAAAAGGATAGCCCTAAACAGTTTGTCAATTAAGTCAGGGACTACCTGTACATATATTGTAGCCTCAGTAGTGGTAATGTGTTTTATTAAAAATTACTATGCATTATAAAATTGTAATGTTATTTTACCCATTTCTTCTCTTCAGATTATAGATCTAATTTGTTCAGTTGACAAGTCAACAAACATTTGAGTATTTACTATGTTCCAGGCACTGTGCCATGAATGAAGACAGAACAATAAACAATAACAGATGTCATCAATGAGCTCATGAACTTCACAGCAGAAAGCTCTTTGTTCTCTGTGACCTCCAACACATCAGCCCTAACCACGAAGGAGAGTAATTACTGCAACCTCATCTGAGTGACTATGGAAAGGATATGTTTCCTTCGTCCCTCAGTAGATAAAAATATGAACAAACTATAAAATGGAGTAATTGAATTTTTCAAGTGTCAAACTATTACAAATTAAATATTTTGACACATATAAATAGAAAAGAAAAAACCCACTGCCTTGAGGTCAATTCTGATCCATGAAGACCTTAAAAAAACAGTGTAGAATTGTTCCACAAGGTTTCTAAGACTAAGTCTTTACAAGGGGAATCATCCTCATCTGCTTAGCACACAGAAAGTACTAACTAAATGCTCACTGATGAACTCTGAATAAATAAGTAAAACCCACAATTGGCAAAATAAAAAACTAGTGTTATTATTAATTCAAAATTGGAAAAGGTATGTGTGTATG